TACGTTTTTTTTATAAACATATATTTATCGATGTTTATCAAGAGAATTGTTTTTAGTACAACTCTGAGGTGAGGATCTAACTTACAACTTCTTAGTTGGATATATATATCAATTATCGTTGAATTAGACTTGTCTTTAACATATTTACCATGAGAATTAAATTTAAAGTTGCGTGAGATTGTGATCGAAATAAGAAATAAAATTTAAAGTTACGTGAGATTGTGATCAAAATAGAAAAGAGAAAATTTAAAAATTGAAAATTTTAATATAGGTCATTTAAATCAATTAAATTTTTGTCGGTAGAATTGACTCTAAAAGAATTTGTATGTCATGATAATGAGATTATGAAACAATCATATTAGTTTTCAACATTAAGACTTAATTCGAATTAATTATTTGATCTTAATTCCATCGTAGTTTTGTTGACCACATAAATTTATTAACACCATCAGTCCTTAATTAAAATAGAATATGAGATTGTTACTATTTTTATTTTTTTATAACGATAATGAGATTTTTTTTTTTTGAGAAATAACGATAATGAGATTAGTTTAATACTGTACTAAAAAAAAAAGAGATTAATTTAATACTTGCAAATGTCATATGGCCTACATGAGGGGGTGATAATTGACCAGCAACTCAAATTATTGTTCCTTGTGATCCTGTCCCTGCCATCACTAAAATTTGTAATAGTATATTCTTTTCTGATTGGTCACACAAAAGCAACAGTATATTCTTTGAAAGGAAAGTAAAATTTTAATTTGAACAATAAAATAAAATTATGAATAAGTTTTAAATATTTAAGTTTTTTTTTTATAATTTTTTTACAAATAAATGTGAAGATGTGAGAATTTAAACTTTTGACCTTAAACGAAATAGTAGATGTCTTTTACTGTTGAACTAAATTTATGTTGATTTTTATTGTTTAGTTCCGTTATGTCATTTTTTAGTTTAAATACTCAAGAGTAATATTCTATATCATCTCCATTTTGCATCACTTAAATTTAATCGATCAAAATTACACCCCTGTGAAAATAAAATTTCAAAGACAATTTAGATAAGAAATAATGATTTTGATAGACATCTAATTAATTGATTGAGTTTTGGAAACTCTGTTTTTTTTTCCAAATACATTTTTGGTTTATGTACTTGAATTTTTTGTATCATTTATTCATTTTATAACTTTTTTATAGTCACATATTTTTAAATCAAAATTTAAACCAAAATCTTAATTTTTACCTTTCTAAAAGTATAATGATTAAATTGTAAAAAAGGGAGAAAAAAAATCCGGCCATTCCTGATTGTGTGTGTAATTCATTAGATAATATAAATTACATCCATCCTCAAGTTGCACTTTCCAAAAAACCACTTCCAATTGTCGTGATAATGATGATAACACAAAGACGTGGGAGAGATAAAATAATAATAATAATAATAATCCCACCCAACTCCGAATTCATTTAGCCTATAATTATAATTATTTTATTTATTTCCGCATTTATTAGTTTCGACTTTTATGTTTTGAAATGAGGTAAAATACAAGTTTGAAGTTGTGTTTACTTAATGCTTTAAAATTTCAAAATAGATCCATTTATGTTCCAGATAGTCTCGAACTTAGGTCCCGTTTCGTGTAATCAAATGGTGGGATCCACCTCAAATTTATAATCTTATTATATCCCTACAACTTCATCAATTTCATTCTCATTCCTTATCCCGTCAATTTTACATATATATTATAATTAATGTACCACTTTTACTATTTCTCTCTCATCTATGGATTAGATCCATATAATTTTTTAATTAGTTTTTTTTATATTTTTATAATTTCTTCTCCATTTATACTCGAAGTTTTATTAGTTAATGTGATTATATATATAATATTAATATTAATTAACATCAATAAATTTTTTAAATAGATATTATCACTTTAAATATTAGAATAAAAAATATTTTATTTGATGTAATTTTATTTTAATTATTCATTATGTATTAATATTAGATAAATTGTTATAATAAGAAATATTTACTATCAATATAGTAATAAATTAAATTAAAATTTATTATTATTATAATTTAAAAAGATTAGCACAATAATATATTTGTAATTGGCTAAAAAGGAGATAGGGGTATATTAGTAATTACCATATATCTTATTCCGATTCCGATTCCAAACAGTTTTAGTAAACAACATCAAATGAGTTCTCATTACGATTTCAGAAAATTTATAGTAAACAACGTCAATGGAATAACATTACGATTGCTTTCCATTACGATTGCGATTAAGTAAACGCGACCTTATTTTATTTTTAATTGATCGATAGAATAAGTGTGGGGGCGGTTTTAAATAGGTACTTGATACGAAAAAATGAGGGAGGAAAAGAGAAACGAATAAAAAATGCAAGAGAAAGAGGAAGAAAAAAATCGTAAATAAAGTTAATATAATTTTTTTAATATTGCCAATTTAGCCATGACACTTCATTCTCGGGGACCATTTATAATCATTTTTCAAATTTCGTGACTAAAGACAGTAACCTCAAACTTCATGGATCAATATATTTTTTTTTTCTTCATTTGAAATATCACGCCTCTAGTAGAAAGTTACTACTTTTAGATAAGAATGATTCATGGTAGTTTCTTTACCTCTATAAATCTTAAACTATAAGTTTTAAATTGCTGCATGCTAGAATTTATAGACTAAATCGTTATAGATTTTAAACTATAATTACTAAATCAATAATTATTTATTATTATTATTTTAATAAACAATGCATTGTGTTTTTAAAATTTATATTTTACTTCAACTACGTCATTTTGTTTAGTACACTTCAACTATGTCATTTAGAGTTGTATAATAAATAAATAATATATATATATATATATATATAATTTTGTCAAGAGAAAAAGAATGGAAGTACATAAATGAGAAAAAGACAACAGACAAGAAAAAAAATTATCTTGCTGAAAGTCACACTTTTTATTATTTTTTTAATAGAACATAAATTTGATTTTGATTTGAAGTTATGTTAATTTTTTAATAAAATAAAAATTTGTATTACGTTTAAAAATACATATTTATTTTATAATATAAATACCTCTAAGTAAAAATTAGTACATAAAAAAATTGATATAAAAGAAATGGAATGGGTTTGCAGTTTTTATTTTAATTTTCTAGTCAATTTAAGGAAGCATCCATAGGACGGCTTTCTTTTGTTAGAGGGAATTAAAATTAAAATTTCAAAGAATCGTTTAAATTCAAACGAGGAAACTCTTTCCATAAAATCAACACGTTAAACTTCACCTAACTTTATTTATATATTTATTCGTATTAGGAAAAAAATTATCTATTTATCTGACATAATTCAACGGACATCCATAATTCTCACAACGTATTTCCCTTCCTTTGTTCTTTTATTAATTCTTTTAGAGGATAATACAAAAACAGTAAAACAAAAAATATGATATTATAAATTAATAATTTACAGGTCATTTTCAACTTAAAAAAAGATAAAAAAAAAAAAAAGAAAAGTACAAACTAACCATGACATCATAGATTAAAAAACCACAAAATATATTGTTTTTGGAAAAGATAAAAGTAACAACATATTTGAACAGTTACTTTCTTCAACAAAAATAAATCTGTAATTTATTTGAATTTGTCTAAAGTGGTCTGAAAAGTTCACTTCTTTTCTTAGTTCCATTAAATTATAGATGAGATTGAAAAAAAATTGAATTTATAATTTATTTAGACCATATGAATTATTAACCATTTGATGATATTCTTTCTAATTTGTATTCATCATGATTTTTATAATCTCATTATTTTTAGAAGAAAACAAAAAAACTAGTTATGCTCCGCTGGACAAAATCAGCTTCCCAATCAAATAGAAAGTTCATGGTTAGAATTTGATGTCTGATATACTGCAGTCAAAATAGTTTCGTTTTTGTTCGATGGATGACCTGAGGTGAAAGCAAAGTAGAGGACCTGCAAAAAAAAATAAAAAAAATAAGCACTCTGACACTCAAGTTAGTGACTGATCGATCTATACTCGAGAGATAATATAGTATCTGAAAATGAGGTGGATAGTCTCTATTTAAGGTGGAGCTTCCGACAAGCTCTCCTACAACTCTCTGACAATCCGATAATCACGGTGTTTTGTTGTGGATGAGATGTCGGGGGTTCCTACCTGCATAAATAAAGTATAGGTCGGCTTTGATTGATAAATCAATTGACTGCAGTATGAGTTTGAGTCAGCTAGGCTGATATCTTAGACAATCAAGATGTGAGACTCTAGTCGATTTGACATAGAACATGAGTTGCAATCATCTTTAGTAGTTCGATTTGATCTTTACGAAGGTCAAAACCAGTGTTTATTTTACATATGAATCATTATAGTGACTCATTATTGTTGAGCATACCATATGTCGACATGTGACTTGCGAGTAATCACCTCTAATTTGAATGATTTGACTGCAAGACGAGCATCAATAACTCCTCTATGAGTAGATCTATCTTGGTGGGTTTAATATCTTATTTATCATGTTATTATTTCAAATTCTATTTAGACAGGGCGTATTCAATAAACAACACTAAAATTCTGTTTCCATGATTTGAATGGAATTTTAAATTCCCATCAGTTTATGAATATTTATAACTTCTTGACCAGAGCAAAATCATTAACCATTTATAAACTAATTTACTTGATGCACGCATTAATTTACCGCCATATAATAAATAGAAACTTCTGTTAGGGTGGATCCGCAACTTCTTCCTAGCCGTAGGGGCTTTATTGCAAAAAAAAGTTCCACAGGAAAATTCAATCATGCGCGTTGATGTGTAGGTGCTGACGTCATCCTACACGTGCCACGTCCTTGTCCTCGTGCGACGCGGAGACGGCGAGTACCAATCAATGCCTAAACGCGGAGAATTCAACCTCTCGGATTTGGACTTCCACTTTGGAAAATTAAAATATTATTCATTCTTCTCGCTTCGCCCCCCCGTTTGATTTATTGGAAAAAAAAGGGGAAAAAAAAAAGAAACTCAAATACAATTTGTACAAATAATTTATTCATTCCCCGATTTCCAAACTCGCCATTCTCCGATTCACAGAGCAATACGGAACCCCCCCGGCGATTTTTCGTTGACCTCGCCGAACCCAAGGTGCAGTTCGAGCGAATAAAGCCGAGGGGAAGATCAAAACCGAGGGATTTGGTTCTCGAAATGTTGTTGAGAGTAGGGCGTCGTTTCTCCGGCTATGTAGCGGCAGTGTGAGATCTTTCCGTCGGCGGAGAGGCCCCTTTGACTCGTCTCGGGGTTCATTTCCGAGATGGGTTCGAGTCCAATTGGGGCGGGAGGGAGTGGAGCGGCGAGTATTGGCGGCGGCGGCGGAGGCGGCGGCGACGGTTCCAGCAGCAGCTGCTTGTGTGGATGGAAGTGGCAACAGAGACATCTCAGGCTGGTCTCTTCTGGGTTCGTCTTCTTCTTCGGATGCTTCGTTTTGTTTGGATCGATTGCTACACTCTACGCTTGGTTAGCTTTTACCCCTCAGTATGTCCGTACGGTCGGCGGCATCTCATCGCTTGGATGTCAAGAAGACAATGAGGGTTCTTGGTCTATTGGGGTCTTTTATGGAGACTCTCCCTTTTCCCTTAAACCCATCGAAACTGTGAGTTTATCTCAATTTCTAAACATCAAACTCTTTTTTGGTTTTCTTTTCCCCCAAGTTTCTTTTTTTTGTTATATAGTCTATTTCATCTGTTTTTCAGCAGTTTCTGTGCATGTAATTAACTCATTCCTTAGTTCAGCTTTTGTGGGGTTTACAACTTTGGAATTTCTGCATATGAGATGGATTCTTGATTATGCTTTTGGATTTAGCTAAGTGGGGGGTTTTAATTGGGTGCAGGCGAATGTATGGAGAGATGAGAGTGCTGCTTGGCCAGTTGCTAATCCTGTTATCACTTGTGCTTCGGTTTCTAATGCTGGTTTTCCTAGCAATTTTGTTGCCGACCCTTTTCTTTTTGTTCAGGTAACTTTTTTTTTTCAGTTTTGGCTGCTGAAATATTCTAACTTTTTCTTTATGCTGCAACTTTGTGTTGTGATTCACGCAATTGTGTGGTTCATGAACCTGCAATTCTATGGTCCTTTGATAGTTCTGGTGCTCGTTGAAGTCCAACTTTTCATGTTTATCATATCTTTGCTCTGCTTTAAGTTTATCACTTCTTATTTAATGGAATGAAGCTCACAATACTGATTTTTTGATTGTTGTTTTTGAAAAAAGTAATCAGTTTGCATAAACAACTTTGGACAGCAAATATGAGGAATCCTTGTTCTTGATATAAAAAAGGGAACATGCATTTCTTTGTTATTTCTCAATTATTTTCTTCTCCTATAATCATTAAAGATTAATACATTTTGTTTTGTTCCAAAATGATCTATATATCTTTTCTTCATTCTTTTGCTCCTATCACCTATGTTAGAAGCTTCCATATACATGGTAGAATAGTTTGGCAGCCGTTCACGAAACCTTCTAAGTTCTGTGCAATTATAGTCTAATTTTTGTTGCAATGTAACTTGAAGTACTAGAAAAGTGGTAAAAAACCTACCAAAGAAGAATAATATATTGCTTACCTTCTTTTTTGTTGTAAAGTTTTCAATATTAAATTTAAAACCAGAGTGGGCATTTAAACTGTTGTGATAACATGGTGTAATTTGAGGGCAAGAAAAATATAAACAGATGGGTATAATGAGCATATGAACAGAAACCACATGTGAAACTTCATAATCCACCTTTTAGTTTTGATCCCGTGTCAGTCTGTAGCTATTTGATAAAATTGCATCTAAGAGGTTCTTTTGAGCAGGAAGTGCTCAGTGTCTTTGACTGGGTAGTTTGAAAGACCAAATTGGATGCTAATTTTCACCCTATATTTACGAGTCACTTGTGCATAGCACAATTGGTCAAATACTTAAAGTATGGTTCTATTCTGATAATTTTTATAAGACACTAACAATGACCCAACTTTAGTTGTTGCTGCTACACAAGAATTGATATATACTTGTATTAACAAAGCGGGCTTCCTTAATCCATTTAAATGGGCAGGGGCAGAGCAATTTTTTCGTAGGGAGGGGCTAAAATTGTCCTTCTAACTTCTAAATATATACTTGGGAAAATTTGGGAGAATTTTAAAATCTTCTTTTTTATATAATTTTTTAAATCTAGACTAACATGGGCCACTGCCCCGCTCCGCCCCTGCAAATGGGTCTTTCCACAGTCTGCTTGGCTTTTTTGTAGACCAGGCTATGTTATGGAAGCTTCAGAACTCTGCTTTTTTATTCGCTTAACAGTTGGTGTAAAAAGTTGCAGAATTTTGTCATTTTTATTTATTGTGGTGGGAATTCTTATTTAATCTTCAATTAAGAAATTTTAATTATTATAATTAAATGAAATGATGATGCAATCATTAAGTAGCTGTGGGATAATAAGTCTTCAATTATGATAAATGAACTTCCATTATGTCAAATTAAAAGAGGATAGGAAGAAAGGAAATATCTAAAATTAAAGTCATAAATGTACTAGAAAATGACCATGTGATACATTTATTAGGTTGGGTGACTTTGAATGTAGCCAGTTTGGCCTAATTTTTATCACAAATAGTTTGGAAATTTGGCTCTAACTTTAGCTCGATACACAATTTTTTGTTGTGGTAGTCTGGTGTTGCCTGAATTAACACTACAGAACGTACAAGATGGAGGTTCTTGATAGCTATTGAATTAACTAGTTACCTCTAGTGAGTTATGCATTTTGTGTCTGGTAATATTCTGGTGAATAAGGTTCCTAGTTAAACTTATGCCATCGTAGACTGAAGCTTTATTCACTCATATTCGAGATTTCATTTTATAGTTTAAAGGTTTAAATTCAATATTGGTCTCTGAACTTTTTTTTTTCTTCTCTCTTTTTTCCCTTCTATTTTGATGAAAAGCCGAGCTTTTATTGATAAAAATGAAAGAATAACAAAATACATACAAAAAAAAAACATAAAAAAAAACAGCCCGACAAAAAGGAACTGAACGATTCCAATCTAGTAAACCTAAAGAGTATAAAACCAGTTTAGAAGTCATTGAGTTCTTGTTATAAATGCAATATGAAAGTTTAGTTGCATGGACCAAAATATGTTTTTATGCAAAGTTCAAATAATATATTCGAAAGTATAAAACCAAAATGAAACAAGGATCAAAGTTCGAATTCAAAATAGTATTTAAACCGGTTTAGAAGTCATTGAGTTATTGCTCTCTATTACAGACTTCCAGGAGTATCTTCCTATTGAAGAATTTTATGCCACTCTCATAGGAACATTCTTATTTGTATTTCATTGTGTATTCAAATTTTTGTTTAATGGATACATTATATTATAATGGTTGCCTAAATTATTTTCTTCACACTTTTCTCCTTCTACGACCAATAAATAGTTAAAACTTTTTCTTTGACGAATCACTTTCTGCTCTTATTTTCCTTCTTGTGAGCATGTTTACTCTTTTCACGAACAAATCAATCTTGCCATTCAGTTCCGATACATGTGCAACAATTAACATAATCATTGTGCTTAATTATACTGGCAGGGAGATACTATTTACTTATTTTATGAAACCAAGAATTCGGTATCTTTGCAAGGAGATATAGGCGTTGCAAAGAGTGTCGATAATGGAGCAACATGGCAACAATTAGGCGTTGCTTTGAATGAGAAATGGCATCTCTCTTTCCCATTTGTCTTTGATCACCTTGGTGAGGTAAGAGACTTTGATTTTTTGTTTTCTTTTTATTTTTTTGGTTTTTTCTTCTCCAAATGAATTGGGTAGAAACTAAAATCATTGCTGAAGACTGTCTAACTTCACCATATATCCAAGAATGTTTTGGACAGATGTAAAGTTGGTTTTAGATCTCTAAACCAAGCGGATTTCAAAATGGTATCTCACTAGCCTAGATTCTCGGTTCAAACCCCCCGGTTTATAACTTAATAACTTAAAATCCTTGTTGTCTTTCAGAACTTGATATAAATTAATGAGGGTAGGCTATGAGCATAAGGGAAGGAGGGCCTCAATGCCCTGATTATATTTTAAAAAATAGTGATTTAGCTGGTTTTGATTGTTTATGGGCTTGGGATCTTCAGTGTCTACTTGATTGAATCACTTTGGAGAACTGGATTGGTTGTGCGTTCGATATTTTGTCTAATTATCTCCTATTATTTCTTGCAGATATATATGATGCCTGAAAGCAGTAAGAAAGGGGAAGTTCGTCTTTATCGAGCGGTTAATTTTCCTTTGAAGTGGGAATTGGATAAAATTATTCTCAAGAAGCCGCTTGTTGATTCAGTCATCATCAATCACAATGGTATGTATTGGCTTTTTGGGTCGGATCATAGTGGGTTTGGTACCAAAAGAAATGGGCATTTGGAGATATGGTATAGTAGCTCACCTCTTGGTCCTTGGAGGCCTCACAAGAGGAACCCTATCTATAATGTAGACAAAAGCTTCGGTGCTCGTAACGGGGGCAGACCGTTTATTCATGAGGGTAGCCTTTATCGCATTGGTCAAGATTGTGGCGAAACATATGGTAAGAAAGTTCGTGTTTTCAAGATCGAAGTTCTTACAAAAGATAGATACAAGGAGGTAGAAGTTCCTTTGGGCTTAGTCGAACCGGTTAAGGGTCGCAATGCTTGGAATGGTGTTCGCTACCACCATGTTGATGCCCAGCAGCTTAGTTCTGGTAAATGGATTGGGGTGATGGATGGAGATCGGGTACCCTCGGGTGATTCAGTTCGTCGTTTTTTACTTGGTTGTGCTTCATTTGCCGTGGTTGCTGTTCTTGTTATTTTTCTGGGTCTGCTACTTGGAGCAGTGAATTGCATTGTTCCCCTTACCTGGTGCGTTTATACTACGGGGAAGAGAAGTGACACAATCTTAACCTGGGAAAAGCCAAATTTATTTTCTTCAAAAGTGAGGCGGTTCTGTAGCCGAGTGAATAGAGCGCCTTCAATCCTTCGAGGTTGGGTAAAATCTAATACTTGCACTGGCAGACTTGTTCTTGCTATTTTATTTGTATTTGGAGTTGCACTGATGTGCACTGCAGTGAAATACATATATGGGGGCAACGGTGCCCAAGAAGCGTACCCATTTAAAGACCACTACTCTCAGTTCACGTTACTAACGATGACCTATGATGCTAGACTTTGGAATTTGAAAATGTATGTGAAGCATTATTCGAGATGCTCATCTGTTCGAGAAATCGTTGTGGTGTGGAACAAGGGAGCACCTCCAGAAATGAGTGATTTGGATTCAGTTGTGCCTGTTAGAATCAGAATAGAAGAGAAGAACTCGCTTAACAACCGGTTCAAGTTGGACGCTTTGATTAAAACTCGAGCTGTTTTGGAGCTTGACGATGACATCATGATGACTTGTGATGATGTTGAGCGAGGTTTTAGGGTATGGCGACAACACCCTGATCGCATTGTGGGCTTTTATCCCCGACTTGTTAATGGAAGTCCTTTGACATACCGAGGCGAGAAATATGCTCGAACTCATAAAGGGTACAATATGATACTTACTGGGGCAGCTTTCATTGATAGTGAATTTGCTTTTAAAAGGTACTGGAGTGCAAATGCAAGGCCAGGCAGGGATTTGGTTGATAAGATTTTTAATTGTGAAGATGTTTTATTGAACTTTCTGTATGCCAATGCAAGCTCATCTCAAACAGTAGAATATGTGAGGCCAGCTTGGGCAATCGACACGTCAAAGTTCTCCGGTGCCGCTATCAGCAAAAACACCCAAGTTCACTATCAGTTAAGAAGCGACTGTCTCAATAAGTTTTCGAAGTTGTACGGAAATTTGGCTGATCGGAAATGGGGATTTGACAGGCGCAAAGACGGATGGGATTTGTAACCGATGAAAAGAGTTTCTCCCAAACAAAGGTCTCTGTAACTTATGTTCAACATTGCTGGTCCTTCTCTTCCGAGTGCTTTCAAGTGAAAACTTCCAATGTTGATCTCTTCCCCCCTTTGTGAATTTACTTGGGGAGTTTGAATATCTATAGTTTCAGTCAGTGAGATGTACATTGCTTGTCACGTTTTGATTCGCCCTTCCCGAGAGACCGATCCCGCTTGGGGTTCCCTAGATGGCTGTTCCTGATTGGCTTCGAGATGGTCACCAACTCGCCACCCCGATGCTCGCAGATCAGCGAGTTCTGGTTCTCGGGTATTCTGTTACTTCTTGTTGTAGCTTCATTGTACCATTTGCCCTCATCTGAAGGACTGTAGAACTGTACTTTAACAAAAAGGTAAAGGGTAACCAAAAGAAAGCTCTGAATTTTCAATGGAAGAAAAAACACTGCCTTTTTCTTTTATTTTTAAATTTTATATATTCCCCTTTCTTTTTTTGCTAGAAATATCAATTCTACTTTCTGGTTAGGCATACTGAAAACTAGTGTCTAGATGATGTCCACTTAATGAATTTATTGTTTGATTCATCATTCAGCTCTTGATCTTGTTATCTCGTTCCACGTCTCGGGATTATGCTTCTATTTAGTCTATATCGTCAACAATGTCAATAAACTATTTTCCTATTTTCTTGGCATGTCTACTGATTAATATGTTTATTTTGTGTGTAATATGATTGGTGCTTTTTGATTGATATTTGATATGTTTTGACTGTAAAGTAAAAGTTAGGGTGGGAAGGGCAAATGCAGGGAGATTGATGATTCCCATTGCTTTTGAGGAGAGCCCACAGACAGACCCCTAAACAACTTTTTACATTGTAAGAAGGGAAAAATCCCACATGGGCCAGCCTTGTGCAGTTTGCTTGTGGGGGCCACAGTGAGCAGCTCAGCCCACCTCGGTTTTTTTTTTTTTTTTTTTTTTTTTTTTTATAGTAATATTGTTTTCGGTGAACTTTCAAGATTATTCAGTTTTTAGCTTTTGCTATTTTAGTTATTACTTTTATTTCAAGATTATTCTATTTTAGTTTTTAGCTTTTGCTATTTTAGTTATTACTTTTATCTGTCAACAGATAAGATATCTTGTTTCTTACAAACGTTGGAGGTTCAATTTTTCATCAAAGTATTAATATATTGTTAAGGATGTCAGAAAAGAAAAATGACATAACAATGGTTTATAATAGACATAAGTTACTCCTCTCATTGTTAATTGGTTTTGAGATGGAATTCCATGAATATTGATATGGTATTAGAGCCCAAAACGTTCAAATGAACATCCGATCAAAAAAATGAGCAGATCGATGAATCAAAAGAATCATGATCATGAATGTTAAGGATCCCACGTTGAAAAGAAAAGGAACATAATAATGATTTATAATAGACATGAACTATTCATCTCATTGTCAATTGGTTTTGAGATGGAACCCATGAATATTGATATATATAATATATAAAATATAATATGAACTATTCATCTCATTGTCAATTGGTGATATATATAATATATAAAATATAATATGAACTATTCATCTCATTGTCAATTGGTTTTGAGATGGAACCCATGAATATTGATACATATAATATATAAAATATAATATAACAAAATTAAATGATTGTTTTTTTCCTTCTCATTTTTATTTATTTCAGTGATGGAAATAAAAAACAATCAAAATAGTGCGTTTTTTTTAATTTAACAGAAAAATAAACAGACACATCCCCTCGACGTGGGGATGGAATGGGACTGGGAAGAACACAATCCAGATGGGCCAGGTTTCATGGGTGCTTGTGGGCCCCCAATTTCATATCATATATCTCCTGCTCGGAACCTTAATGTTGGTGTTGATGAAAATATTCGAAATCTCGAAAATATTCGAAATCTCGATTGTATGAATAGAAAGATTTGAATAACTCGTAAAGCTATTTAAATTAATAAATTAGTATTTCATACCTCTTAAATAAGTTGTAAACATTTTTTTATGCTTTTAAAATTTATTGTATTACCATGGTTAGATCATGCTTAGGAATAATTGTAAGCATTTCTATAGTATATATAGTGGAAATATTGGTTTATCTCTTGTATGAATATATATATATATATATATATATATTTTTTGACAGAATCTCTTGTATGAATATTGAGTTATCATCAATTGGGAAAAAACTAATGAAAATATTGATAGGCAAGCGAATATTACATTGCTTCGAAAGAAGTATAGAAACTTATTTTCCTTTTTATCTTTGCAAACTATAAATATGGAATATGGTGAAATTGTCTTTTGAAACTCGCCTGAATTAAAGTTAGGCAAGCGGATCGAGTCACTTGGGTCAAACCACCCAATCAGACCATACTTGAGCCAATCAATCTGAACCTATCTAAGGAGACTCCCTTAATGATAGGAGAAAATTGAGACCCGACGTACTATCTCACAATTGCACACATTAGATTGTGTTGGGTTTAGCATCACGCTACTACCGACATCATAACTAAACTACTGCATCAACACTACTAAAATATAATTTAGTTTTTTTAATATTTTAATATGTAAGTTGATAGTTTGATCATCTCCCTAAGCTTACGAGTGTGAAACGTTCTTCTTAGCTCAGTGTGTTAAACCATGTATACATATTTTTTATAAATTTTATTTGATTTTTGAATCTAAATCATAAATCATAATCAAGGTGGGGTTTGATTTGTGATAATGCTTCTCATTCTTTTAATGGTCAAATCCTTCTCGTTGGCTTGAAAAAATTCATAGTTCTCTTCTGGAAAGAGTTGCTGAAGGCGGAGGGCAAATCACCTTTGTTTTCAACTCTGCAATCTTGCTTTTCAATCTTGTCAAAAGCCCTTTGACTTCATTTCATAAACCAATTTCCATCCTTTTCTTTTTAGCAATTTTTTAAACTTTTATTTTCGTTTTAAAAAACAACAAAAACGATACAGTTTCCCTAAATTCGACCCTCACACTCCATAGTTATTGAACTAAAAGTTCTTTATATATATAATATATATAATATATATATATATATTATAGATCACATGTATTAAGTAGGGTTACTTTAACTGCATTTATGTTGGTTTTTTTGTTTGTTCTTTGAGCCGTAAACATATATTAACCTGCAGACTTTGTCAATATTTTCAACATTTCATAAACGTTTCAAAATACCATTTTGAGCAAACATGCATTAATATTTTAAACTAAAAATTTACGTAGTAGAATTTGTAACAATGTGGCAATTAACGTCTCAATTTTACCTAAAAATCTTCTTTTCCCATTGTCAAAAGAATTTACATGCTTCTTTGTAATCTATCCAATTTTGTCATAATCCCCCTTTTAAAAGCTACAGCTTTTCTATATTTAATCTATACAAATTTCCTCACATCATTCTAGATTCTGCGTATCACTTTCTATTCAAAATATTAACAAACATTCACTAAATGTATTTTTGAAACATTTACAAAAGGTCAAAACTTGCTTCGAAACTTTCAAAATGATAGAAATAATCGTGAAACAAACCACAAAGTTCAAGGGGTGCTCTTTTTTTTTTTCATCTTTCTTTCTTGCATTTTAGCCTAAAAAATCTATTAAAATATGTAACAAGCCTTGAAATGACACCTTTTGAATTTAATTAAGCAATGAACAACCAACCTTATAAAAGAAAAAAATAAAAACAAAACATCATATAGTCTGCCAAACAAAGATCCCATTAACTTTCAAAATTTCCTTTGGAATTTCATTGTGCTGCCTGCCAAGTGCCCAATTCTCATATGCTCTGCCCTTCCCCTTGCCACCCACCCTACATTGTTCCACTGTAGAGGTCCCTAGAGAGAGAAAAGCACTGCAGCCCCCCAAGTTTAGGGCAGCCCTACGGAGAGGAGAGAGAGAGCGAAGCAAATTTTAGAGAGAGAAAATGAATTGAACGAAAATAGATGGTCGATTCCCATCATCCAATCCCATGTGCTTCAACCTCTCTCCTGTCTTCTCTCCAATCCACAAATCTCTCTGATCTTCTCTCTTCCATCAAAATTTCTCCTCATTCTCTCTCTCTATCTCTCCAATTTCCCCATATCCAAATTCCCAAATTCCTGTTAGCTTTCTAGGGTTGTGAAATTTTGTTGCAAAGCTAAAAAAAGCTGGTTAACATTCACAGATATCCATGTTATTACCTCTGCTGAGAGGTTCCTCCCAAATTCCCACCTTTTTTTCCGCCCCTTTTTAAACGAGAAACTGTTAAAGAAAAAAGAAAACTCTGATCAAATTTGTGCTTTCCCATTTGTTTCTTGTTGTTGCTGTTGACTGTCCCGGCTCTGTGCCCAAGAACAGGGGCTGGCTTCGTAGAGAGAGAGAAAAAAATTGGAGGTCTAGAGAGGGAAGGAGGGCGATTAATGTAGGGAAAAGGGGTTTTGAAGATAGAGATGTTGGCAATGGAGAAGGATTTTGATGCCAAGTTGAATGTTCAAGGCAACTCTTCTAATGGTGGCAATGTTCCGAGATCCAAGAGCTTTGCCTTTCGCGCTCCTCAGGAGAATTTTACAATCCAGGATTTTGAATTGGGAAAGATATATGGCGTTGGTTCATATTCGAAGGTATCCATCCTCAATATGCTGGTTTATTTATTTATCATTATTATGATTATTCGAATTTTATTGCTACGTTTATCATTCATTTGTTTTTCTATGGAGTTCTTTAAATTTGATTTTCGTTTCGTTCTGTTCTGTTCTGGATCGATTCTGTTGCAATTTAACATATCGAGGGAAATTGTGATGGTTTTTTTCCAGATGGAGAGATGTTTAATTCGTGTAGTGGCACTTTGTTGGTTCTTGTATGGTAATTTGGGTATCGGAGTGAGAATCTATAGATATCATAGAATGTAATTAAATTTCTTCTTCTTTTTCTTTTTAAATCTTATGGACAAGGATCAATTTTCTTTTATCCAGACTCATCATTCATTCTGTGCACTCGAGGTCGTGTTAATATAATCGAAGAACTATGTTTTGGCTCAAGAATTGAACTGGTTTGGCATATCAGACAAATGGGGTTGAAAATGAACTAGGGTTCCTAGAATTCATATAAGCTAGAACATTTATTTGTCTCTCCTCTTCCTTTCTCTCTTTCCATCTTTGCTTGACAACGGTTGCTGGATCATTCATGTCGGATGGGGAAGATCCCTCTCGGGTGCTACTTGACGCATGAAACTCAACTTATCTATTAGCAACATTCGACCTGCCAATTAATAAAATTCATTTTATGATGCATCGGTTATATGTTAACAAATTATAACTGGTAATACTGAGAATTTTAATAGATTAAGGATGACATTGAAAATTTCCTAAAAGATCAGGGATCATTCGGTATGTTTAGCCATTTTGTAGTTTTGCATTCATTATAATTATCCTATTTATCTTTACGGGGGTGAGTGTCATGATATCGACTGTATTATCTATTGCTTTATAGATGGCGTTTTAAATTTTGTCACCAGGTTGTGAGGGCGAAGAAGAAGGACACAGGAACTGTATATGCATTGAAGATAATGGACAAAAAATTCATTACCAAAGAGAATAAAACTGCTTACGTGAAGTTGGAAAGAATTGTCCTTGATCAGTTGGACCATCCTGGTGTTGTGAGACTATTTTTTACCTTTCAGGACACTTTTTCTCTGTGTATGTATTTCTTAATTTCACCTTTTTTTCTTTTTTAATATGTGAATCTCCCTATATTTCATGTCTTTTTATCTGCTTAGTCAAAATTCGCTCCGCTCTTATTTATTCATACGTTATTTTTTGTTATTCATGTTGTTTTCTTACTGATACTCTTTTCTTGGTTTTGATGTTAAGACATGGCACTGGAGTCCTGTGAAGGTGGAGAACTTTTTGACCAAATAACCAGGGTAAGTTGATTTGAAGGAACTTGAGAACGTGCATTCTTCCCTCACTTGCATCGTGATCTCTCGTAAAATGTATAAATCCCGATAGAATACGTTTCTAAAGTATGCTATTTTATCATCTTGTGTACTTAAATATTGAAATTGAGTTAACTAGATATATGGTTGTGTGTATAAATTGCAAAGTTTTCGTGATCAGGGGCGTTAGTTTTTATTTTCTTGGAAGAGTTTTGGACTGGAGAGAAGCCTCTAGTAAAAGTTTGTTAGCATGTTTAACTGTGTTGTTTGAATTCTTACAAGTCATTTATATGGTATATGTTTCATCTTATTTCTGCTTTTTAACTTATCCTGTTACTGAGTTTGAAGTATAAAATCGTTCTTTCTGTCATATGGTTTCGTTTTGCTTTTCTCTAACTTGATTACTCTTGAAGCTTTGGATGGCTGTGATATTGTCAGTATATTGCAGATGCATGTGCTTCTTGGCATTTTCTCTTTTTCATTCTAAACCTCAAGTAATTTATCAACAGAAAGGTCGTCTGCCGGAGGAAGAAGCTCGGTTTTATGCTGCAGAAGTCGTTGATGCTCTTGAATACATACACAACATGGGATTGATACACCGTGACATCAAGGTTTCTTATCTTTTTTTTTTTCCCTCTTCTCTTCACTTCTCTTCTTGTCAAGGTTTCTTATCTATATCCATCTGCTCTATTATTGTTGAACTGTGGCACATAAAAAACATAATAACATTTTTTTGGCAGCCTGAGAACTTGCTCCTCACTAGTGATGGACATATCAAAATAGCAGATTTCGGGAGTGTGAAGCCTATGGTGGATAGTCGAATTACCGTACTTCCAAACGCAGCATCAGGTTTGTTTCGGTTTATGTCACCGACTGCAGAAGAATATAGGAATCTAGTTCAAGCGCATTTTGACACGTTTTGCACCAATTTTTACATGTAGATGATAAAGCTTGCACGTTTGTTGGCACTGCTGCATATGTTCCTCCAGAAGTCCTAAATTCCTCCCCTGCCACTTTCGGGTAACGAGTTCGTCTTACTTGCCTGTTCATAATGATAGTACTTTATGTTATCCTTTTTGTTGGGGTCTTGGAAATCAAGAGATTATGCTGGTATTAATGTTTTTATCTTTTACTTTTTGTTCCGTTTTCGCGTACTCTCCATATAACATAACCTGGTTTTTGGACTTGAAAACAGAAATGACCTCTGGGCGCTGGGTTGCACCTTGTACCAGATGCTTTCAGGGACTTCTCCATTTAAGGATGCAAGTGAATGGCTTATTTTCCAGAAGATCGTAGCACGGGATATAAAATTCCCCAGCTATTTCTCGGAGCAAGCCAGGGATGTCATCGACCACCTATTGGTATGTATGCTACCGGAACATCAAGTTTTCCTCAGAATGCCTAATGGAGTTTCTTGTATTATTATTATTTTTTTTTGTATTCCAGTTTCTTTTACTACTTTTCAGACTTCAATAACTAAATGAATTGTAACAGGATGCACTTTGATAGCTGTTAATCCAGCTTCATGAGAAATCTTCTGCTTTTGTATTAAAAATCCTTTCATTCTGTAATATAATGTTTATCATATGTTCTGTGCGAGCTCGGCCTTAACTCGTCTTTTATCTGTTACAGGATTTAGATCCTGGCAAGAGACCGGGTGCCGGACCTGAGGGTTATGCTTGTCTCAAGAATCATTCCTTCTTTGAGGGGGTTGATTGGAAGAACATAAGAACACAAACCCCTCCCAAGCTTGCTTTGGAAGCAGTGGTATTATTTGCTATTAAAACTTCCCTCTGTTATTTATTTGATCCATATGTTATTGTTAAATACGTTATCTTGCACTTGTATCTGCAGTCTCATTCGAACGAGAACGAAGATGGCCAGGAGTCCTCTTGGAACCCTTCACATATCGGAGACGGTGTACCAAGAGCAAATGATGGGAACACTGGTTCTGCATCAACTTCTGAAGGATCAAACCACATTACTCGGCTCGCGTCGATAGACTCCTTTGATTCAAAATGGTATCTGTTTTCTTCGCGATATTGAATATATTACATTGCTCAGGAAGATGTCCTAGATTCGATTTCATCCACTTTATTGTAACTTGCTTGCGTGAATCGCCGGGTAGACTTCTTGTGAAGGGTGATTCGATGCACAAAACCATTCTAAATTGCATCCTGTTGATTTAGTTAGCCCTTTTTCGCCCGAGTAATCGTAAAAGTAGACATTTATCGGCTAGCCTAGCCATTAGAAGAAACATCTAAATGTTGATTTTCATCTTAACAGGCAGCAATTCCTTGAACCTGGAGAATCTGTTCTTATGATCTCAATGGTGAAAAAAATTCAGAAGCTAACAAGCAAAAAGGTTCAGCTTATTCTCACCAACAAACCAAAGTTGATTTATGTTGATCCTTCAAAGCTCATTGTGAAGGGGAATATCATTTGGTCTGACAATCCTAATGATCTCAACATTCAAGTGACTAGTCCCTCAAATTTCAAGATTTGCACAGTATGCCATATCAACTCTAAGCCCCTTTTTCTTTAAAATCTTATCCCAATTTCAAAAACCAAAAATATGTGCATTTCAAAGTCTAACTTTTTTTTTTCCTTGGCTAGAACTTCTAAATTGATTTATAATAAAGTATGAAATGGACAAAATTGTTCTGATCCAAAGTTCATTCTTCAGCCAAAAAAGATTGCCTCTTTCGAGGATGCGAAACAGCGAGCATGGCAGTGGAAGAAGGCGATCGAGGGGCTTCAGAATCGGTGAATCATTCGTGGCTTCGACGACACATTCTTTGGAAGAGTTTACATTTTAAAGAGGAAAAAAAAGTGAGTTCATTAATAACTTGAAACTTTCTAGGAAATTTTATTCAATGGAAGTTATTATAGTTGGAAGAAAAGATCAGCTAATCCCCCAACCCCAAAAGAAGAAAGCTGGAAGGAAGAAGAGAAGAGGAAGAAAGAGTGATATTATTATATCATTGAATCATTGCTTGGAATTGTATGTGCAGTTCTACTTAAGCCTGTGGGATTAATACTTGTATTGAAGGATACCTGCCAGTCATTAATGAAATTTATTCTCATCAAATTATTTTCTATTATATGATTATGAATCCTTGTTTTCTCTTATTTGGATGTCAGATGTTTCATTTTTTGTTTTGTTTTCAAAACTACTTCGTTGTGTTTATTTAATCATTGAAAATAAATTTTTTAAAATTATATTTATAAACTTTGGATTATGAAATGTTGATGTGATATGTTGATTAGCTCAATTTGAGCTGACGGGATATGACGAACAACTCTGATAAATAATAGGCATGTTGTAGGGCAGTGATTAAATAGAAGTAAAATTCAAAGTTTAAAAATGTAATTGAAATTTTTAAAAGTTGGAAAATAGTTGGCTCCTCATATCTCTATATTCCACCTCCCTAATTATTTGAACTCAGAAAGAAAATAATTTTTTTAACTCACCAAAGGTATTATTATAAAGTATAACTCAAGTGTTAACATGAGTATAATTCAACAATAATTGACACGTATTTCTTCCCTTAAAGTTGAAGGTTTGATCTCTCGTAACTAAATGTATTGATTATAAAGTATAACTCAAGTGCTAATGTGAGTATAATTCAGTAATAATTGACATGCACTCCTTTCCTTAAGGTCGGAGGTTTGATATTTCATATCCCAAAGTGTTAGTATTAGGAAAAAAAAATTTGAACACCAACTTATACTTAATATTAATTATTTTAAGCTAATTTAGAAATAGAAACATGTTTATTTTTTAATTTAAGTACTTTTTATGATATTTTAATTTATTTACCTGTTACAGAAATACCAATCGAAAACCACGATATTTCTATGAAATTAAGATTTTGAAATTTTGATTGACATGAAATTAAGATTTTGAAATTTTGATTGACATGAAATTTAAAACATTGCTCAGAGGTCACAGGACGCTCACCCTTTATCCGAGTGCTGAAAATTAGGGAGCCGACCGCATCCATTCGGTTCGAACCCAAAATACCCTGGACCAAATGGGTCGGTTCGGATGATTAGTTAGAAAACCGAATTGAACCGATTAATGCAACCTCTCTCTCAAAAAACCTCTGTTTCTCTCTCCCTTCTCTCTCTCTCTATCGAAGACGGCTTCTCCCTTCTGTTCTCTGCTTCCCACTTCGCCGGAGCCGCCCTTCTTCAACACTTTCACTGAACTAGGAATTGTAGCCATCTATCCATTGAAATCTCTGCCCAAGCTTCCCGTACAAAAGGTATTTTTGATTTCGAGTTATATATGCTATATTCATGGCGTTTTGGTTCTCTATGTTTTTCTTCTGCAACTTTCTTGTTAAGAAAAATAGGTTCCTTCACTCATATGGTGGACATTGTTCTCTAGTGCAATGTGCTTAAATTAAACACAATATACTTTCTTTTCTCTTTCCTTTTCATATTGGCTTTTGAATTCTTAAATCTCTGCAAACCAATCGGGGTTTTTGTTCCTAGAAATATTTAATTTCTTGAGCAGTATATTCAGATACTTGAGCGTGAGAGATGAACCGGGGAAGTAGAAGAAATATTTGCAGTACAACGAAAGAAGAGGATAAATTTCTTTAATTGCACACTTCCTTAAGTGTTCTGACAATATTAGAAATCTATCGTAAAAAATCCGAAATACTCCCAATCGGTTGCAGTTTCCTACTTCCTAAATGCACGTACAATGTTCGATAATCTTGTGACTGGAAATTTCAGTATATCGCATGGTTTCTCGCAATAATCTGTTTGGATTTTGAGTTTCTCTTATTTTGAACAAATTATTTGTTTCAGTCTTGGATTTCGATCGTTATTTCATTCTCACATAATTGATATGTAATTTTGATTCTATTTCTTTGTAGCGATAATACATGAGCTGACTGGAGGCCATTTATCTGCTACAATGCTTAAGATGGATGAATTTTTGAAGAATCAAATCTTCTCAACCCATGCAGTTGCTGCTGCAGGCTCAGTGACTCTAAGCACAGTTCTTACTTACCCTCTTGACACTATTAAAACTCTTATCCAGGTTGAATACCTTGCCCTTGTGGATATTAGCTGTTATGGTAGTATATTAATATAGATTGATGTAATTATCTGCTTTGTAATAGGTCGGTTCTGATCCTCTAGGATCTGGTAAACAGTTGACGACGACTCAAGTTTTACAGAGAATTCAATCTTTCTCGGGTAATTCAGGTGATTCTTTAATTTTTCTTGAAAGTCTATTTGAGATTGTATGTGCTGTTTGATTATCTGAAAATCAACAGTTACAATGATAATTTGTAGCAGACGTTTTGAGTAAGCCCTGAATGTTGGGAGGGAGTTCTTTGGCTTCCGTAGGCAGTCACTTATTTTTTCTGTTAGTGTTTGGACTGAGATGAGAAGTTTGGGATGAAAATAATTGATATTCGTTTGGAAATAGGCGTTCAATTTAATTTCCACGCTTCCACTTGAATGAATGAACATGATGCTTAGGGTGAAAATGATGACTTAGTTTGGCCTGAAAACTATGATTGACTGGCCGGTAGTTAGTTACTACATAATAAGCTAAATCAAACCTAATCATGGTTCTGGGTTATCGAAAAGAAAGGAAAAAAAGGAGAGAGAGAACTTAATCATGGTTGTAGGTGGTTATTACCGTATATAGTTTTAAAATAACTGAGTATTTGCTTGGCATAGTTCAACAATATGTCAATCTTTTCACTCTGTGAATCTAGTTGGAATATATATATATATATATATATATATATATTTTATAATAAACAACCGAGCTTTCATTGAGATAAAATGAAAGTATACAAAAAAAGAAAAAACCGAGTCCAACAGAAGGAAACTGGCATATGTGAAGGGCCCAATCTAAAAGAATAACAACTATCAATCCAAAAGATCAAGGATCAATTAGTTGGAACTTACACATACTGCATGGAGGCACTTTTGTTTTAATTAGTTGGTGAGAATATAAAGTTAAATAGTAAAGTGAATGAATTAAGTAGATATAAATGTATAAGAGCCGGGTCCGTTTATCAGATACTTGATCCTCAATCTGTATTTCAGTATATTTCTTTGTTAACACGGTGATTGCCTGCTGCTTGGAAACGTATCATACTTCTTCTTATTTAGAGTTTAATTTCACATTGACTGAAGATTGCAGGTTTGTATAGTGGATTTGGATGGTTGGCCTTCGGGAGACTATTTGGTATAGGAGCTCGATTTGGAATATATGAAATTGTGACAGCATTTTATAAAGGTAATCACATATACTACCTTACAGTAAAATTTTCTGTCTTGTCTACGAATGTGTCCAACATTGTAATCTTAACACATTGAGTATTTAATCCAATAACCCAATTATTTTATTTAACAAGAAATTAATTTCATTGATAAAAAAATATATGCAAAATGGGGAAGCCTAAGAAAAAAGGGGGAAAGTATGATATGCATATGCCCTGGTATTGACATGAACATTTCAACCAGAGATTTCAAATTTGTTATTATCAATAAATTTTGTTATTGTGATGGTTGTTAGTAAATACGTGGCAGATGGTCGTGAAGATGATCATGTGCACGTGTCCGAGGCTCTTCTGGCAGGACTTATGGCTGGTGCAGTGGAATCATTGATAAGCTCTCCATTTGAGATTGTTAAACTTCGTGCTCAGGTGGCTTCTGCTGTTCGTGTACCGAGCTCAGTCTCTCTTGTTGGACAAGAAGGAGCTCTTGTGCCTTCTATGTCAAGATTTCTCCATGGGTATACACCAGATCAGAAAGCCTTAAACCATTCAGTTGGTCTGTTATCCACCCTAACAACTAAGCACCCAAATATAAAATGTGCCTTACAAGAGTATCCGTGGATGATGACGGGGTCGGGGAGGCCACCCGCAGTCAGCAATGTCCATAGGCCGTCAGACATTGTGTCACTAGAAGGATGGGGGGCACTTTGGAGAGATCTACGATCTGGGATTGCAAGGGATTCTGTCTTTAGTGGTGTATTCTTCTCAACCTGGCAATTTATGCACCGATCTATGCTTATTTGGAAGAGCATCGAGATGGACCCACCACCCAGGTTACACATTTTGATACTATATGACTCTTGAAACTGTGACCTAAGCTTCCATTTTAATTTTTCACTTTGAACCATAGAACTTCCTTTTGATATCTAGAACACAATCATGGACTTGATCACTATCCATAGTTTTTTGAATTACTAGTGAAGTTCGAGTACTCAAAATCTAGAACTAACAAGTTCATATGATAATCTGCCATCTTTTATATTTAATATGATTGTACCTTTTCTTGTCTCCTCCATTCACTTGGTTGAGATAAACAATTTTTGTTCTGAATTTTCTTTTCCAGGTCAGATGAGGAAGTAGGGCCGCTGTCTCCTTTATCAGTTAGTCTTGCAGCTGGATTTTCGGGTGCAGTTGCTGCTGCTGCATCTCACGGTTTTGACACTGCCAAGAGTCGATCACAATGCACCGTGCTGCCCAAGGTATGAAATTCATTTATGGAAGAGTTTGGCAGTATAGTTTCTTATAGTACACTCTTTCTGATAGTCTAGTCTATTTATATTTTACCATCAGGCATCATAATATTTTCCTACATGCAATTTGGCCTCGTAAAAGTATGGCAATCTTTATTCTTTTCTTTTTTAGTGCAAAATTTTCTAGTATACAGCCACGTCAATGATCTTAAAACATTCAAGATGATGTGAGCGAGATATATTGCCATGATGGGAAAAATCATTTTTGAGTTCTTTGTGAACAAGCTAGTTTCGGGGGGTTGTGTTTGATCATGGTTATTTTGTTGCAGTATGTTGCCATGGAGAGGAGGTTTCTCAAATGGAGAAGACCAGGCAATAAATTTGAGAGAACTACGGGAATCCATCCTGCAGATCGGAGTCTTCTGTTCCGCGGTATAGGATTGCAAATGGCTCGCTGTGGTTTCGGATCGTTTTTTATGGTTGGAGGTTACTATATGATTATTGATCATTTGTTGAAAGGATGAATTATTTGCACGGAATCCTTAGAATGAGTACCAAAGAGAGTAATGGCAAGAC